ATACATACATACATACATACATACATACATACATACATACATACATATACATATATACATGTGCATGCAACTTGCTAATTGCTATTGCACAGTGCACGAGTGCACACGTCAGTTCTGCTTGCATCTGCTTGTATCGCCTGGTTGGTCGTTGCGTGCAATCGCAGAAAAATGATACTTTTAAACGCACAATTTATCTTGTTAATAAGTCTAAGTCTGTTGTTGGTCCGCACTAGCGTAGGAGAGAACAAATACTCCGCCGAGGCGAACAAGGCTAAATATGCAGACTCCTCGCAGTTCCCGACTTCTCTCAGAGACTTGGATAAGCCGTTCAGGATGACAAAGTTGAATGTGCTCTGGGTTAAGGCCAAAAACGTGAGTAACGAATTGCATATAAAACATATAATTAAAAATAAGTTAATATATATTTTTTCTCTTTTACGTAATAGTTATTTGTGTAACAAGTGCGGGAAGTTGAGAATTGGACACGAGTGCGGAGTGGATGCACGAGCCGAAGGCGAGTGCGATCACCCGCACGAGTGTCCAATTCTCAACCCGCACGTGTTACACACCCTATTTTATATTACAAAGTGTGTGGAAAGTGGCTTATTACGCGCGCGTCATGGGCCACTTTCCACGCACGTGTGATATAAAAATATATACCTATATACTCTCTATTTCTAATTTTAAATCTACATAAATATTTGCTTCAGCGTCTAACGGATACCAAGCTGCAGTCGATCTTCAGCGATCTGAAGATTCATGACAAAGAGGAGATTGCGTACAAGCATTTCAAATCCGATGGAAAGGATCCTGATGGTTTGGAAGAGGCGCGTCTAAGACAGAAGCTCATCGGTAACTTTTGTATCATCTGACTATTTGTATTTATTTTGCTGTGCTAAATCCTAATCTCGTGTAATTTTATCTTGTATAGGAATAATGAGCACATACGGCCTACTGGAACACTTCGCCGAGACCGAAGATCCAAAGTTACTTAAAATACACAAAGCGCTGAACGACGGTAGCAATTATGTTGCTAAAGATGTATTTAAGGATATAAGGCTCAACAAATTGTGGGCTAAAGCTGAAATGGCTGGTTTTACTGGTATGCAATAATTTACATCGATAGAAGTATACAGGTTGTCTGTCAAGATTGGAGAAAAAGTTTATATAAACTTATGTCCGAAAATATTTTATTAAAGTTGCAAGTGTTCAAAGATTCACGAGCAGTTTCTTATAATTTGTTAAACAGAATTGCTGACTCAAAGACAAATGGCTCTCACAATCAGTTATTGTTTACATTTCTTGACTTACTCTCTTTAGATTTGTATTCTGTTACATTTTGATTTGTTCAGCGGTATACGTTTTGATGTTTCATCTAAATTAGTCTCCTAGAATCTAAAAGGCTAATTTAGATGAAACACCAGAATGTGTAATCCTGAACAAATAAAAATCTAGGACCTAAATCAACGGATTTAACATCCCTGGATTTCTATTTGTAGGGCCATGCAAACTAGTTTAAGAAATTGATATAAGACTAGCTTTGAGAATGTATTCAAATTACATTTATCACAATTTCTAATATGCTGGAATATTTGAAAGAATTCAACGAATGGAAGTCTGCATTCTTGCAGAAGGAAGAAATTTCGAACATTTGTTGTAGGTACTGTTGTAACAACTTATAAAATCCGTATGTATAAATCAAGACATGTACTTAAACAATAACTAAAACTTTGTTTCTCAGTCAGAAATTCTAATAAGTTATAAGAACAGTTTTTTCCGTGAATCTTTGAACGCTTATAACTCTTTAATGAAGCATTTTTGGGCATAAATTTATATAAACTTTTTTCACTTACTTGATCCTATTAAAGCAGTGTATAAATTTCATCCCAACCTTTACGAATATCTTGTATATCATAAGAATCTAATTTATAATATTGTTACGCGCTGAGATTCCCGGTATGCACATGCCTTTGAGAAGAAGTCGCGAAGCGTTCTTTGACGAGTTGTATGTATCGGGCTACAGTTTGAAATCTAATTCTGCGCGCGCGTCACTCTTCTCGCGTGAAACACTCTAATTTATGCTTATAACTTTTTTATTTTAGATGAGGAGCTTGAGACTTTAAAACAAGAGTTCCACCATCATCAAGAAAAAGTGGACGAGTACTTGAGTTTATTGAAAGAGGAATCTAAAGATTCAGAGAAAGCTGAAAGTTAGTCTTTTATATTCGCGTATGGTAAATATAACTTTAAAAATGTTATTTTTATATTTATATATTGTATCTTATATCTCTAGATATCTTACATCTTAAATCAGAAAGCTGGAACGAGTTAGAAGAACAGGAGGAATTATCTAACAATATACCAGACCAGAAATTGAGTCACACGGAAAAGGCAAATTTACTTCGGTATGTTGTAAAAGATTTACGTATACCTATAGATGGATGTATGAGTTAGCTTTTATCACTGTTTCTATTTCAGGGAGAAACATTTAGACCTGAGAAATGGATTCGATCGTTTAGACAGACTCACCGCAAAGGGACCAAACCATAAAGATTTTGTAGAACCTAAAGTACAAGGATTATGGAAGATTGCATTGGAAGCAAAATTCTCTCCCGATGAGTTAACATCCTTAAAGGTATAATGATAATAATAATAATTCCAACGTAGTCTCATAGTTTTCTTCTCATACATATCTGTGAGAATAATTATTTGAGTGCTAAGCTGCTATTTTAAACTTATTTTTGTAAATATCAAAAAAGCCATTGGCAAAATTTTCATAATTTAGATTGTTAATAAACCGAACATATTCCAATTGTATTTGCATTAAAATGGATATTATACATTATGTAGGAAGAACTTTTGCACTATGAATCGAGACTACTTAAGCTGAGACATCTACATGCAGAAGGAGCACTGGAAGCGGCACAGAAAGGTCAGCTCCACGACTTAGAAAATTCAACTGCAGAACAGCACATAAAGAAACATGTTAGGACTGTACAAAAGCTTCATATGGATATAGAAACCAAAATCATGCAGAGGCACACGGAATTATAAGAAAATTATATAAGAATTATATACGAAAATAAACCATTGTCATTTACAAAATATCAAATGCATAAATACGTGCACTATGATTAATATATACAGAGCAGTTAGAAATGAATAATCATTTATCGTGAAATAAATGATGAAGTAATTGTCTATGGAAATGTTTATATTCTAATAATTTGTCAACTTACATTCTTAGCAACAATTTTTGCTGAGTAATCTTGATAATTTTCGAACAAAACTTTAATAATTTGTACTATATAAAGCATTTAAAATACATATAAATAATTTGTACTATAAGTAGAATCTCCTATATGAACAATGTATGAACACACTGTAGGGAACTATTTTATTTTTATCTAAGTCGAATACATAAAAAATGGAAGAATGCGAAGGTTGTGTGTGTGTTTTTGAGTACATTTATAATATCTTCAACAATTATATTACTGAGATTACAATCCAGTGGCGAGTTTACTATTGTTAGTCTTCTTTTTCTCTTTCGACCTCCCTTGATCCTTTGATCCGACTAGCTTCTCACATTCGCACCAAGGTGTGCTCGACTTATCACACAGCAAGGAGATATTAATCACTGTTAGGGAAGTATCTGATATAGTCATCTTGATTGTATCCAGTATTTTATACGAGACGTTATTCAAGCCAGTTTGCCGGTCTCGTTTTCTAGTAACTTCTCGTTGATTATAACACTTTGTCATATCTCTCTTTCTATGATTTCTATCGTGTATATGCCTGCAATACATATTCCGCGTGTAAATTGGTAAAGCCAAGCGTTGCAACTTCCATCTAGTTTCATTCTACATCTTACGATGAATACAGAAGTTGACAAAGTTTCATAAAATAATACTCACTTAAATGTGTTATGCGTTCCGGTTGATATATTTTGCGGCCGACTTACACTTAAGCCAGCCTCTTTTAATCTTACATAAAATTCGTCGTCTTCAAGACCCCATCCCCAATATTTGTTGGACATTCCATTTACCTGTATAAAATGCTCCCTGCGAAAATGCATATAGCCAAACAGTAGTACATAAATCAATATCGTTATCTCTTCATGGTTTATTGTCACATTTTAGGGCGTACCTTTTAATGAGTAGGATTCCACCGATAAAGGTAAAATAATGATATCGAGGATGTAAATCTGGCGACGATATATGATGAGGTCCTGTACTTGGATATGCATATGATAACTGATCGTTCATAGGCAACAGATCTACATCGTGCATCGCAATATAATCAAACGCTTTCTCTGTTTCGAGGAAGCCTACGTTTATGAGTGATGCTCGATTGAATCTGTACCTGTCCACCTGGAAAAAAAAATTACATATGAGATTCAAACATTGTATTTCAATCACACGCAAGCCTCTCTTAGCACTACAATACCTGATTTAATACAAATATATGATAATCTATGTTCTGCTTGTCCAGGAATTTCTGTATGTGTGGTACAAATATCAGTAATTCCTCAAAGCGATCCCTAAATGGCACTAGTATGGCCAATCGATGCTCAGCCTTCTTTTTGTATCCATTAATTTCGTCGGCCACTTGCTTAAGGTGTTGACTTGGTTGAGCGTTTGCTTCGCACTTGCATTCGTCTGAAGCAATAAAATTACGTTTGAAGAAGCCATTTACAGCCGTGTATCCTGCACTACGTTTTTTTTTTTTTAATACATCAATGACTAACCGATACTGATGGGAGATATGCTGATTATACATGATGTGACGAAGGTAATCAAGATGCAAGCAAAGATATATTTAAACCTTGTGCTTTTCCAAATGTTATCCATGCTGAATAACATTTATGGAAGGATTATTTCATAAAATATAAATTGTCAGTGTTAATTGACAGAGAAGTATCGTTTTAATTAATGCCAAAGATATCTTTCAGTGGCATCTCTTTCTCCCTCGAAAGGAAAAGCCGTTTTCTTCTCCGTATTGTTAAAGAATTTTAAGTGCTCGATCGTAACGAAAGAAGAGAATAAGCTGGTGTAATTCACAGCGTAATCCTTAAAATTATTTCTGCAGCTGGCGATTGCCAATGAAAGCTTGAATGGACATTCCGACGTGAAATTATTGCAAAGTATTTTGTGAGAAGCGCACCCCTTTGGAAGGGCTACCGGCTACCGAATAGACGCCGCAAATCTCTCGTGTCCTCGTTCCAGAGTTCATACACGATGAGCTGCCTGCTCAGCAACGCTTCTTCGTCGGGGCACGAGGTACCTCTCGTCGCACTAGCTCGAATGACCGGATCGCATCGCGAACGTCGTGTCCGTGCAAGGTGCACACGTCCCTCGCGAACTCACGAGCATCACGTAGCAATCCGACCTGCGTGCGCGACTCGTGCATCGTCGTGGTCGTACGTGGTCGTACTCCAGACTCCAGCAGTCCAGCGTTGTTCGCCCGTCGAACGCACGCTGTTTATGTCATCTCGCGGCAAAACTCACCGCCGCAATTTGACACTTTGACAGATAGCGGATTCCTCCGACCGACCCTGCACGCGATCACCTTGCGGCCGACTCACTCACACTCACAGTTCACACGCTCGTGCATATTTTCCAGATTCCAGATATGTTCTGAAATCCTGCCGAGGTCTGTTCGTAGGATTTGACCCGGAAACTCCGGATTTTGAAAAAATTTATTCCCGGGTTTGAGCCACTGATATGACAAATAAGCGGTCGGCAATCCATGTATGTATGTACATACATAATGTACGTATGCCATTATTTGGGCCAATCGGCCCAATCGCGTGTTTTCGTTATCGCGCGCGTAGTAATTTTGGCAAGTACGCCGGGCGCGGGGCACGGCGTCACAGTCTTTAACCACGTTGCGATTGACCACAGCCACTCACAGCCTCCGGTGCCTGGAATTTTTCCACTGGACTAGCCAATCAGATATTTTTATTTTAAATCAGCCCATTTATGACGTGATCAATTGAGTCCCACTCCTCAGTGATTCTTTATTATGATTGGTTTTTACACTTGGATCCGGAGAAGAACCAAAGGCAAGAACCAATAATCGTATTAAAGAATCACTGAGCGTTTACTCGACGGACGACGGTTGTGTCCTCGTTCAATGAATGGATTACGTCACGCGTTGTTGTAGGGTTGGGTGTAGTCTGTGTAGTTCGTTACAGTCCGGAGTAGTCATGTCAAGGGTGTTGTCCGTGTGTGATTGACTCGGAAGAAATGCCTAAAGGAAAGATGTGGATCCAATATTACGCATTATTACTGTCCCTGTGCTGTTTTGCGCTACGTCAAACTCACGGTAGTGCACTTTTCCTTTCGACGAACGTCGCGAAAACGCGATTAATAAAAACGCCTCATAGAACGTAGTCCTTAATTCGCAATGCGTGTCAAATTATGAATAGTTATCCCTAAAATAATCATATTTTGTATCAAATTAACGTATTAATTCAATCTCAGCGGTCTGACAATGATAACATATCCTATTCGATTTTTACTTTACCACTGATATATTTGCACTGTGGAGAACACGAAATGTTGGAATGTAGAGTGCTAGAGTGCTATTTCGCATATTAACAACTTATAACGAATGCTGTATTGATTAATTATTTATCGACAGGTCAGCATTTCAACAACACAGTCACGTGGTGTACGGTCTCCGACGGCGAGCAGAACAAATGTCAAGCCTTCGCCAGGGCGGTCGATCGCGAGATAGGTGCCTTTGGTTACAATTATTTTTCGGTGCGATGCAAACAGGCTTTCAACAAGGAGGAATGTATGGCCATGCTGGACCACGAGAAAGCACAGATAACTACGTTGGACGCTGGAGAGGTCTTCATAGCTGGACGATACCATAGTCTTGTACCAATAATGCAGGAAATATATGAAAGTGGCGTAAATTATCAATACGCCGTTGCGGTGATTAAGAAGGGCTCTCTGCCGGATGTTAATAGTTTGTATGATCTCAGAGGCAAGAAGGGCTGCTTCGCTGGCGTCGGGACACTAGCTGGTTGGGTTATTCCTATTAACAGTGTGAGTAAAATTCATAGATTACAATATGAACATAATGTAAACCTAATATAATTGTAATTTTTAACACATTTGTATGTATATAAAATTACAACAAAACATTTTTATTCAGCTTATGAGATATGGAGGAATGGAAGTTATTGACTGTAACAATCATGTGAAGTCAACAATTAAATTCTTTGGACCTAGTTGTGCAGTAAACTCGTTAATTGATAAATACAATCCCCTTGGTGAGTTTAATGTAAGAATATATAGATTTATAGATTGCATTTTTATCTTACAGTCGTTATAACCTAGGAAATCAATTGCAGGTGATAATTCTGACCAGTTGTGCAGCCTATGCATCGGAAAGATACCCGGTGGCAAATGTACGAATCAAGATCCTTACTCAGGATACGAAGGAGCTTTCCGCTGCTTGGTTGAAGCGGGTGAAATTGCCTTTCTGGTGCATACGACTGTGCAGGAAATGACTTCGACGACATTCGATTTTAGTACGTAGCCTTACAATTTAAATTTTCAGAGAAAAGGAATCGGCAAAATACTCATTTATGATTTTCGCTATTAGGTTCTGTGAAAAAGGAGCAATTTGAACTACTGTGCAAGGACGGTACTCGCAGACCCGTGGACGATTACAGGACCTGTAATTGGGGCACCGTGCCATCTCGTGCAATAGTCACGTCTTCGGCGACCAACTTCGAGATTCGTCGAAAGTATCAAAGATTTTTAGAGAAAGCCGTTCGAATACTGCATAAAAACAGAAATGACAGAAATGACACAACGGGCTTCAGTCGTTTCGACAACAATCAAGGGAGTTTTGACAACGATCAAGAGGGTTTCGATAATAATCAAAGAGGTTTTGACAACAATCAAAGGGATTTTGAGAATCGTCCGGGTTACAACAACAGATTTAGCGAGAGTGACTTTAACAGAGGCGGATTTAGGAATCCGAACGAATATAGCACAGACAATTGGGATCGTAACGGATTCGATCGAAGCTTCGGCGGCGGTGGCGGAAGAGGAGGAGCAGAAGGAGGATTTAATTCGTGGGATAGGCCTGGAATTAACGATACATTCGATTATTATAATAGAGAAAGAGTCCACACTGAACCTACGAATGTACGACCGATAGAAATGTTCGATTTATACGAATCGGCGCCTAGATACGGAATGCAACATAATTTAATATTCTCTGTAAGTTTTGATATTCTCGCATTTCGTTTATTTGCTAATTGAGTTAGCGTTTATCTGTAATGCATTTCATTTTTCCAGGACTCCTCTCGCGATTTCGTACAACTGTCCGAAAAAGATCAAACGTACACCGGGTATTTAGGAAGATCTTTAGACCATATATTAGGGGTGCGTCATTGTCCCGTAAATCGAATGACATTATGCGTTACATCCGATCCAGAAATGGAAAAATGCGTAAAGATGAAGGTACAGTTCAGTCTACATACTTAACAAAATGCTATGTTATTTCAAAAATTATTTAAACATTAATTTTGATATATGCTGTCTGTTGTAGATTGCCTTAAAAGCCCAGCTCTTAAAACCAGAATTACTTTGTCACAGAGGTCACAGCCAAATAAATTGTATGCAGTTGATACAAAGCGGGTATGTACTAAATATGTTATGTTTAAACATACGTATATCTGAAAATAGAATTATGGACGTATAATTTTATCTCCTTTATGGCAGGATTGCCGATGTAACTGTACTAGATGCCAGTGACGTCTACACCGCTGGACTGCGGTTTGAACTCATTCCATTTATATCCGAGGTGTACAATTTGGGTACACCAGACTATTACGTTGTCGCCGTCGCGAAGGAGGAGGATGACAACACAGACCTGACGTATCTCAAAAACAAATACACTTGTCACACTGGAATCAATATGGCCGCGGGATGGGTTTATCCGCTGGCGTACCTCATCTCCAACAAGTGGATCAGGGGATATGGTTGTGATTCTGTGCGCGCCGCCGCCGAATACTTCAGCAAATCTTGCGTGCCGGGTGCACTCAGCACTGAATACAATACAGGTAGTTGAAAAAGAATTCTAACTAAAATTTCCAAATTGATAATTTTTCTAAGTTGGCAATTCGAAAATTAACCCCTTGATTGTTAATAACGGAAATATCCGCAAAAAGAACTGGCCAGGACTGTTTATGACGGAAAAATCCCCGCACAGTCAAGAAAAGATACTTTTAACGAAGTAATTAAAACAAGGTCCTATATCTTTATGTATTGGAATCGCTGAATTCAAATCTGAAATCAAAATTGCGAAATTCAACATGACGGACGATCTAATATGGCAGACCAAAAATGTAAAAAATTGTTCGATTTGCATAAAAATTTATATTTAAAAGTTTTTGAAGCCGCTGATTTCAAATTCAAAATATAAATTCAAGAATTCAAAATTCAATATGATGAGCAAAAAATTCAAAATGTGGTTTAAATGCTTAAAAAGTTTTGAAGGGTTTTTGAAGCTCTTGATCCCGTTTTTTAAATTGAAATTTGTCAATTTTAAATGACGGATTTAATATGATGGCCAAAAAATATCGCTCAATTTGCACATCAAAATTAATTTCTAAGAATTTTTATAAATTTTTCCGCTATTTTAAATTTTGAAATTTTGACCCCCAGAAAACACCTTTTTTATAATTTTATTAACTCTTTTGTGAAAAGCATTTTTGGCACACAAGCATTTTTTTCGCCTAACAGCCAAGGGCTTAGCTTAGTAGAGCAAAGTAAAATAAAACTGATAAAGACAGCAAACTCTTTCATAAAATAATTGCTTCTGCGGAACTTTTCTTGTTTAATATTTGATTAATTATTTATAGGCGTGCCTTATGATAACATGTGCGACCTGTGTCACGGGGTGAGCTACCGGTATTGCCGAAGAGACGCTTCCGAGGATTACTTCGGATACACAGGTGCCTTTAGATGTCTGGTGGAAGGTGGCGGCGACGTGTCTTTCGTGAAACATACGACGGTTGCAGAGAATACCGATGGCAAGCGCAAGGAGTTCTGGGCGCGCAACACTTTCACAAAAGATTTTGAGTTACTCTGCCCAGATGGTACGCGCCGTCCGACTTCGGATTACATAAATTGCAATCTGGGCAAAGTCGCCGCCAATGCCATAGTCACGCGCGGCGGGTATTATGGCTACAATGAGACGCAAATCAACGCATACATCAATCTATTTATATACGCACAACAGTTTTATGGCCGAAAGGAGCAGGACGAGTTCAGCTTCAGCATGTATTACAGTCCACCGCCTTACAGCGATCTCATCTTTCAAGATGCCACTCAGCAGCTGGTGGTGATCCTGCCGAACAAGCGGGAGTACAGCGCGTATCTCGGGCAAGATTTTATGAGAGCCAGGAGAATCGTAGATTGTAATGCAGGTGCGTCAGCGATAAGTTACTCATTGTTCGCTACGATAGTTATGATCGCGTTTACTTTTGCATTTGGTAGATAAGTATTGCGAGTTGCATGCATTACAAGAATATTCGAATAAAAATTCGTGTCGAGATTACGAACGAAGATTGGAGATCTGACAAACGAATCTGATATAGCACATTTTATCAATTGGCAATATATACAGGGTGTAAAACAAATGTGGCCACTACTTCAGAAGTGTATTCTACTTGTCAAAATAAGCAAAAAAGTTTATATGTCTAAAAATGTCTAAAAATTGTTTTCACGTTACAATCATGTTTAAAGAGACGCTAAGGATGTTTTATCAATGGTTCCCTTGTGTCCTCGTGTTTTTGGGAACATCTAAAACAAATTGTCTACTTTTTGTTGACGATATTAATGATCTTCGTCAGCACATTGAAAACAGGTTCAATGAAATACGCAACACACCGAATGTTTGTGAAAGGCTGAGAAGGTCGCTAAGAAGAAGGGCGGAGCTAACATATTTTTGTTGGGAACGGTTACTTTAAACATTTGCTTTAAGATTTATTGTATTTCACTTTTATTTTCCATTGTATTGTTAGAAATAAAATAATAATTGTAACTGTCTTAAGTTTCAGCTCAAACTGACTGTAACATGAAAACGATGCATTTTTAGACATACGTTTATATGCCCAAACTTTTTTGCTCATTTTGATGAGTAGAATACATGCCTGAAATAGCGGCTCACATTTATGTTACATCCTGTATATATTATATTTAACAATAGTAGATATTAAATAATATTAAATTTAGCAATAGTATATTTTATCGCTGCTACGTATCACTAATATTATCAAAGATACATTCTCAATATCAGTCAAATTGTTTTATACATATTTTACACGTATACTTTTACAAAAGTACAAATGACTGAGAAATAGAGTTGAATATATAAATTTAAGCGCGATTGCTGCCTTTGCGTCCGTCCAACGGAGCTATATCTTTAAGTGTATCCGTCCAAATACAAGAAACTTATCGATCTGGTAATTTTAAGGATTATTGTATTTAATAATTTGATATGTATGTATATTTTATACCGTCCACTAATGTTTTTATAATAATAAATCTTTATAAGGTTTCCCATGTATTTGTATATTACGATTATTCTATACGTTTCTATTTAATAAAATAGTATATCCAGTATATCTAACAAAAAGATCAACGGCGGATGCGAAATAAAATGAAACTTGTTTGTGTAGATCGAAATTTCATAAAAAGTATTAAAATTTGTTTTTCAAATGGCGAAACCACCGGAAGTAGAATGACACGCGATAACAAGAAATATCGAAATTACAATTGAATAACGAACGGAAAAAAGAAACCATTGCTTTGGCTATCAAAAATTCAACACGTAAATCATCTTAAGTTTGGATCAAAATTTCTAAAGTCACTGATTCTCATTCCGCCTCTAATAATTCGAATGACGTAATTTTAACAAAAGTCTCAACGCTGCTTGCATATTAAGATACCCCTATTAATCGGAAAACAGATTGTTCCTGCAGAAGATAGTTCACGATAGAGCGATATGAATAGTGACACTCAGTCAATGAATGCTTCTAAATATGAAAAACTGGTAAAAGAACCTAACACGCAAATCAATAGGTGTAACAATCTCGACAATCAGGTAATATTCTCGTGAAGGATCGAAATATATAGTAGTGTAACGTTAAAATGTACATTCAGGTAACCAATACTCGTCAAATATTCGACAATCTAAATCAATCTATTCAACGAAAACAGAAACCGGATTCTAGTTTAACATCCCATACATCACCTTCATCTACAAATAATATCAATGCCATAACAAGTGAGATGTTGCAAATAATTTTAATCTCTATCTAAATCAAGACATGCATGGAGTAAATAATATCATAGCTGTCTCGATTCATTTATAGCTTATCACTAACTTTTGTTCTATGGATTTTTTTTCAATTCCTAGCTGTACAAATTCCAAATTTTCAGGTAAATGCAAAACCCATAAATTAGTGGACAGCAAACAAGTTTCGAGACAATTTCATCAATTCGACAAGAAGACATTTCTTCTTGATACTTATGCTCGTATCGTTGCTAACAATAACAGGCGTTGCCCTAAGAGATTACGTGAACTCGCTAAACCAAAGAGACAAGCACATAGCGATCAGAATGACTACGCTGCGAATTTCGATTTAAACTACGGCCATGTGACTAAAACTTGCCGTGCGGAAGACAAACGCAACTTAAAAGAGTAAAAAAAGAAATAGTTTATAATAGCTCATTGTGACAGAATATTTTAAACAATTTCTCATGCAACAATTTAGCGTGATTACTGCAGTTTCAAACAATTTAACATAAATTCAAGCAATA